TCCACCTGGGATTCAAAATACTTTATAATTTTTAGAGCGATTAATATCTTCAACAAAACAAGACTATTTAAGCTCACCCAGATAAAATGCACTTATCCAAAACTCAAATTACTAACGAGTCTATGAGTATTCTGGGCATACTTTACAAAATTTACCATACTTTTCGACTGCTGAAGGAGATTTTAACAAGCTGAATGAGAACAAAATACTTTCTTCGAAAACAATACATTTACCGGCAAAAAAAGTTTCTTCCCTATCTTATCTTAAGAACCTTGATGACTTATTCATCTCCATTTTGTTTTTTGTTCTGTATTCATTAGTCACAAGAAGAGTGGTAATGACAAAACACTTTGAGATACCGTTAAGGATAGTTGTACTTCCTTCTCTTTCTCACCCCGAAAGCTAGAATACTATCTTTCTATCTTTGCCGCAGAATATCTATTGAACCCGAATTGTGGCAGCGAAAGACACCCAAGCTTACATGTAAAGCAGATTTCGATATGCTAACCTAGACAAGCCACGGCCTCTTGCTAAGCTTTTATTCAGTGAATACGTTTTTTTTTTTGAAAAAGCCGTAGTATGGTTTTTGGGAGTTTACTTACATTTTGCCCGTTTAGCTCAGCAATGTGGTAAGCCAACAGCTGCAATGGGATAACAGTTAGCACATTCTGGACACAGTCAACAGTTTTTGGTATCCTCAGAATGTGTTTCATTCCACCCAAATCCTAAAACAAAAAGACTATTTAATCGATCAATACACCAAATTTTAGAGATCGATAACTTTGTTGTGTTAATTAGAGTGCTAACCGTTTCGGGTACACTTTGATCAGCTATAATGAACGGTGCTCCACCGCGGGCAACCACCTGTTGCAAGGCATTCAGAGACTTCTAAACGAGGAGTTTAAGATAAAGAAATTCTTGCTGGAGATTTTTCCTAGCGAGAGTAAGTCCCAAAATTACCTTATAATCCTTTTACAAAGCAAACCTTGTAAACGGAATCTTTGCAAATCACCATACAAATGCGCAGATTCTCATCAACCATAGCCAGTGGACCATGCTTTAATTCACCAGACATGATTCCTTCACAATGCAAGTAGGACAACTCCTAAATATGACAGAAATCTTTAAAAGTATCAGCTAACTCTTTTA